CTTGGATCCCCATCAGGATTCAAACCCTAAATTTTAACTTTTTTTTTATACTGTACCCTCATTTTTACACTACAGGTCCCAGCAAGATTGAAGTTCGCGCTGTTGTTGAACGAAGTCGCTTCAGTGAGACGCAGACGAATTTTTCAAGTGATTATTATGACGAAATAGACGATGATGATGATGTCTTTTATAACGCAAACAATAATAATAATAACAACAGAAAAACTAAAGTAAACACGAAAATTTTAATCGAAAACGAGAAAATTCTTACTAATTCGAGAAGCAAATTTACTGGAATCAAAACAAACACTGAAAATTCATTTTTATCCAGTACTTTCGGTACAGGAACCGCCATTGATCGCGTTCCACTAGTCTACGAATCTCTTTCGAACGATTCATTTGTGTCACGTGGTACGAATAGCAGACGACAACAGCATAGTGACGTAACTATCGGAAGACGACAATCTAAAAAACGACGAAAGACTAGCCGTAGGAGCGTGGTTGTTAGAAAATATTCGAGCAATTCAATAAGAAGAAACGATAATAGACGTAAAAAGAAAACTCCTCCTCGCCAGAAAGCGAAAGATTCGACGAGTTCTTCAGCTCAAAACTACGGATCAATGGACAACCGATCTGGCATTAATGACAGACGAACCAACCAAGGAACAAACGACATTATGATGTCACTACATTCGACGGCACAATGACGTAATTGTTTTGTCACTTTTTATTTGCCAATAAAACAAATACAAAAATTTCTTTCCGTCTAGCGTGCACAGCGGCCAACGGTTAAAAACAATGTTGGCGTAGAAAACTAAAGTTTAGGATTCCAATTTCATGCCCAACGTCTCACTCATCGTGTAATAAACTGGATAGGCCAGCGGTTCTCAAACTTTTTGTTTCTAGGCGTACCCACACAAAGAACTCTCAAATTGGGCATCGAAATCCGCCAACAAAGCAGTAATTCAACAATGACGTTATCTATAAGTTCCGACAGATAATTTTTACAAACTTCATTGATAATTGTCAACCTCTTCAGGGGCTCCATAACGCCGAAAGTTTGAGAACACTCGTCGTAGACCAGTGGTCGGCAACGTCTTTTAAGTGAGGCCCAAATAGTAAAATTCAAACCAGGGGCGTCTAACCTTAATACACGACGATAGAAATAACTGGGTGAAACCGCGGGTTGCACCTTTATTCAACATGGGCTTACTAGTATAGTTTAATCATACAGGCACAACAATGTTGGTTATTGATCTTATGACGTGTTGTTCGCTTCGCACAAGTTAGCTGTTAAGGCATTATGACATCATAGGCATAGATCAGAGGTCGGCAACCTACGGCCCGCGGGCCGGATCCGTAACAAGTATATAATTCACAATTTAATAAGCCTATAATTTAATTATAATTCAGACAAATGACAACAAAACGCAGTAAAGTTGATGCTAAGTGCAAATGGTTTAATGGCGCAAAAAACATTCAAATGGTCAGTCTTCGCGCGCTGCTTAAAATTTAACTTCTGATCTGTGTGATAAAATGTGATTCATCCAATCGATTTTAAACATTCTAAAAATATGTGCGGCTAGTCAATGACTTTCAACCTTTAATTTGGGCCCCGACAAAAGGTTGCCGACCTCTGGCATAGATAATAAATTGGACTCAGGTACCGGTATAAATTTCCTAACCAAATGGGTTTGAAATTACTCGCGCGTACCAAACGAAATTAAAATCTTATTTCGTGGACCGCACATCGTTCAAAATTGGCACTTCTCAATGGGCCGCACAAGTTTTTTGTGAGGGCCGCATTCGGCCCGTGGGCCACAGGTTGCACACCATGATTTAAACACGGCGGGGGCGGTGTGGCTCAACGGGCTAAGCGTTGGGAATACGCTCGCCACCGCACCTCTAACTACTCTGCGTGGGTTCGCAGGTTCGAATCCCATGCAGGGATGGTTATGTGCGAGAGGATTGCTGGACTCCTCGCCGTCGTTGGGTGGTTCACGTAACCGCTGGTCGGTTACGGCTTCCTCCACCACCAAGTCCATGCTTCCGAAAACAAACAATACAGTAAAACTAATCCCATACCCGACTTGAAATGGTAACCGGACGAGAGGCCGTGGTTCGCCATATGGATAAGCCGTCTTATCGGCTTTCCTCTCCCCCGGGATAAATATATAAATCCTATCCTATCACATAACTTGTCAAGGGGACATTTTAGTTGAAATGAACGTGATGTATGACCGGTTTGATGTATGAAGAAAAATCATTCGGAAGAAAATTTAAATGCAATGTCGGATATATTTTGGGTACTCTCGTAGTATGTGTACCAGGTTAGGCCATACTTTTATTCCGATTTTTCTTATTTTATTTCTATTACGAGTTCGGGGACTGTCTGTGTTGGCCAAGTGAATATAACCCCTGCCCATAGGCTTCAGTCCCTTTACACAACTTGATGTAGCGTAGGCGAACAAGGGGTGTATGCTGCACATTTGTTTTTTAGGCCAATATGGTCCTTCCGAGTATTGGATTTGGACCGCACCTAATTATTTATTTTGGATCAATAGCCCCACTTTTTGAATTTCCTATTATAAAATGACTTTTATAGTTTTGAATATATACGAAAAGAAATATAACACTATAATAAACAATTTTAATATGCTACTAATCATTAGTCGGTCGAGGAAGTGCTCGTTTAAGGATGCCGGAATATCAGTTCTGGAAAGACCGGACCCAAATAATTTTGAAGTTTTGTTTGCGGACCTTCGATAAAAATAGTTGAGTAGCCCTGCTCTAGAGTTAGAGACTGCTGATATTGATGGTTAGTACCGTATGGATTATCTAACTAACACTGCTTACCAGATATTGTATAGCAGAGATCAATGCTGTTTGCTTTCTATCATACAAAGTCTATGCAAATGGTTGAAAATATGTGGGCTGATAGACATATTTGTATTAGTCCCCCCCCCCCCAAAAAAAAAACACAAAAAGTCATTTTTCAGTTTGATACATAGCAATTTTTTGCGACTTGAAATGATTTTAAATCCTCAATACTTTTCTAAATCCACGAAACGCCATCTGGTACTATCTAACTTGGCAATTCAAAATTTTAGAACTCCCGCTTTTGAAAATTTCTGGGAACACCACTGGTATGAGAGTAAACTAAATAGTGAAATGGGTCTGTGGTCATTTGTCAGCGTAACACAGGTGACTGTACATTTGAACTCTCGTACATTTAAACCCATGTGTATATCCGTGGGTTCAATCTATATGCGGGTGCTAAACCCATGGGTTAGGGTTAGTATGGGTTCAAATATCCGTAAAACAAAATAAAATTCCATAGGTACAATAGTATACAGGTGCATTGTCGTGGGTTCAAATGTAATGGGTTTAAATGTAATGGAACTCGTAACACAATATCTCATTTATAGAATAAGAAAAAACAACAATACATAGTCACTTTAAGTAGTTGCTCATGTACCAAGGCTTGTATGAAATAAAGCATAGGTTCTCAAGTGCCATATACGGAGCCCAAAGGCTCTGTGAGAGAAACCTAGGGAGGCTATCCGTTTACTTATTGAAATACTGAACGTTTTTTAAATACAAAAAAGAAAATCAGAGTCATTAAATAAGGTAATTTTAATCTACCATTCGACATTAATCGATAATTAACAATGTGTTTTTTCCCCTTCAATACAGTATATTTATTTTGGGGCTCCCAATTGAGGGATCCAAAACACCAAAATGTTGGAAAACCCAAAAATAGAGAATACTTGGTTTCCTACTTGCTAGGAACGTTAAAAATAATGCTGATGGCAGTTGGTACTTCATTGGATGGCAGGGTAATGACCAATTTTCAACATAGTTGAGTCGCAGACTGATTTGTTTGAGGGCATACGATAAAAATTAAATAGTAAATTAGTTGTGGAAGTTCGCCACAGCGTAACACGAGGTCTTCTTTATAGAATAAAAAAAAAGGCAGTCACTGATATGCTAAAGCTTGGGTGCTCCTGTAGTATTCGTACCAAGATGGCGCACAACCTGAACATAGTATGTGTACCAAGGTTAGGGTTATCAGGTTGTGCGCCATCTTGGTACAAATACTATGCGAGCGCCAAAGCTTGTATTGAATAGAAAAGCATAGATTGGCAGTTTTTTGTTTAACTATACATAATATTGAACATTTAAAATATTGCTGATGGCAGTTGGTCATTCATTGAATGGCAGTGTATTTTCAACTCAAGTCGAGGATGTGAGCGCCTCTAACACTTGTCTCGATTGGAGGCAGTCGATCGACTAATTTTTTCATGTATTCAAAAAAACTAACAGATTTTGAAATAAAGTTAAAGTTGGTTAAAAATTAAACGAAATCTATTTTATGTCTGAATATCAGTTAAAATAATCAAGAAAAAAAATTGTGAATGAAAATATTTGTAATTATTAATAAGATCATAAATTTACTATATCAGATGTGAAAAAGCAGGTGAATAACTCCACATAATTGAAGATCTTTGAATTTTATTTTGTCTAGAAAGAGTACACTGACAATAAACAAATGTGAATGTACAACCAATTGAGTACGAAAGCCTACACTTGTGTTGTATTTGTATTCAAAAACAAATAAATGGTGAAATATTCCCATACCCGACATGGACTGGTAAGCGAATAAGACATAATGTGGTTTGCCATAAAGTCGTCTTATTGGACACGTTTAGGGGACATAACGATCGTTTTGTTTTTATGTTGTTCTTTGACACTTTTTGGACACCTAGTGGAAATATTAAAAAACCGCTTTTCTCTTCGATCACTGGACCAAGTGCTTTGAAATTTTTAGTGGTTAAAGATGAAATTTTGCTCCAGAAGGCTATTACTTTTATTTATTTCAAATATTTCTGTTAGCTCTGTAAGATTGTTTTTGTTTGCTATGACGTCACCGAACGTTCTGCGGACATCGGACGCCATTTTGTGTCCTACTGTACTGCTTCGCTTGGTGTGAATATATTTGTAGACTGTGATCTGACGGTACGGTAAATCATACTGTACTGCAAACAGACGTGTCCATATACTTGGGCGTAGCTCTCTTGTCATCTTTCTTATACCCCTGGATAAATATGAAAATCCCATTATGTGTTCCATGTGTACAAACTATTATTCAATGTAACTTGGTTTAAGCATTCAAAATCTGCTGAGTCAGCATTTTTGAATTGAAGCAGACAAGTATCAGACAACCCAAAATTTTCAGATTTTGATATTAATTGGGGATTTTCAGAAATTTTATTCCCGAATACTTTTTTTGGGGAGCTATTGCATGGATTAAATGAAGTCTGGCTGTTTTCATCATGTTCCTGCTGAAATTCAGTATTTTCAGCAATCATTCCTTCCTTTCCATTCTCTAAATTCTTTCTTTCAGTAATACAAGAGTTGAAAGGCATCGTAAACATTGACGAACTAAACGCTGCTTGGAATCCTGACGGACTTTGCGTTTTTTTCAACAATTCTAGAATTCCTATAACACTATGCGGTAGAAGCGGTCCAGTTATGTCCAATGAAAATTTATTTTGTCCGTCATTTGAACCTTGACCCCTGTTTGATGACCCTTGACCCCGGTTCAAGGAAGCTTCAGTGAAAGTACGAGCAATTCCGCTACGGATGCTCAATTTCTGTAAGCTCGCACCTTGGAATGCCACAGGAGATAAAATAGTAGGGGAACGTGGGACTGAACCCCTGAACTTTGAATACTGCTCTTCGAGTTTAGAAGATAATTGAAAAGCAGTTGTGTATTAGTGTTTCCTTTGACATAAACTACGTTACGCACTGATGTTTCCGTGTGGGCGTTTTGCCGTAAATCTTTCGTCGTGCTCATTTGTATATTTTCACTTATCATATCCCAAGTTGCATCATCCTCTGACTGCGACTCCTTGGTTCGATCTTCGATTTTATCAGTTTCGTTTATACTACTATTTGTGGTGGTTTGTTCATTTTCTTTATTTTCATTCTTTTCAGTCGTATTTTCCACTTTTTTAGTTTTTAGAAGCGGCAACGTAAACTCGATTCCCTCCTTTTCTAAAGATAGTCTCAAACCAGTCGTAGTCGGTGTTAATAAACAGCTGATCTCATTTTCCCCTGAAACAGATGCCGCTCGAAACAACGCAGTATATTGTTGCGCGCAAACGTAGAAATATGGACATAATTTTTCTCTCACGAGCTGGTACGCTGATCTGAACGATGTTACCCAGTTTTCGTAGAATGATTTTGTAACATCTTCGGTTTGCGGAATCGCTGGCATTGCAGAGTTATGGAGTTTCTGCTGCTGGCCATATCTAGGAAAAAATATATTTTATGCAAACAATTTCTGATATTGAAAATAAATATTAATTTAAATCAATAAATTATTTGTTGCAGGCTCACATGATAATAAATGGAAGGCTTTTCGGTCATGGCCGTGGGCATGTGGCACATCGTGCTAAGCACTAGGAATATGCTCGTTCGTTCATCGCACAGTGGTTTCTTCATCGCACAGTGGTTGCGGCTTTCTGTATCATCAAGTCCATGCTTCCAAAAACAAATAATTAACTAGTCCATACCGGACATGGACTGGTAACCGTAAGAGAGGCCGTGGTTCGCCATAATGATTAAGCCGTCTTATCGGCTTACCTCTCCCCTTTAAATGAGTATGTAGATCCTATTCTAATGTGAGACAGTGTTGAGAAGGCTTGGGTCGGCCCTAGTTGAAATTCCCATTTATCAAGACTAACTCAGTAACTCACAGAGTGACTTTGGATTTCGATGACCCCTGACTAGAGTTGACTCGTGGTTCAGGCACTTCCACTCAACAATGCTGAGAGAGAGACTCCAACAATACTAATTTTTTAAATAAAACTTTTATAAATTATTTCGCAAATCATTAATGCAAACTTTGTATCCGTGACCTTTCTGCAACATCATGATAAGTGTGAAAATCCTATTCTATTTTGCACCACATAAATCCCTGTTTCTATTACGAGTTCAGGAACTAGCCAAATGACTACCTTAGTTCTATTACGAGTTTGCTAAGTGACTCCTGGAGTTTTTGTATCTGGAATAATGGCCTAACCCTAACCTGGTGCACACACTACGTTTGGGTGTCCGACATCTTGATTCACAATTCACATACTTCAGGAGTACCGATAATAAACTTGCCTTTCATTAAATCACTTCCTTACCGTGGATACAATGTGAGCCATGGTACACATGGTTGTTGCCAATAAGTGATGCTTTTCATCAATTCCATTCTCCAAGATTTCTGCAGGCTATCGGGAACTGGACCGAAGTAGGGTTTACTTTCGATGACATTATGGTGACATCTAGTGGCTTGTGTGATCGCGTTTGCTTCTTCGGCCCCTGGGGAGGAAAAAAATTAATTATTTTAAATGTTTGTCTCGCATCTCTCATAGAAAACAAGATTCCAGACCAGTGGTCTCAACCTGTTTTCAAACAACCCAAATTGTTTTTAAAAACTAATTTTGTCATACACTTATTATTTATCGATTTTAATCGGTAAGTATGTTGATAGGTATTTGTCTGTATGTATGTCTGTTAGATGCACGCGATATCTCACGAAAGCGAGATTGAATCTGCTCCAGATTTTGCATGTGCATTCATCTTATCTTGGACCAGAAGCCTATTGAATTTGGGTGAATTATGTCATATAATTAGCGAGTTATTAATTAATTAGTGATGGGACACAAGGTGTCACTATGGAGTAAGAGCGCTGTTTTGGGGGAACCCCTAACTTTCGATCGATAAGTCTTCGGTCTCTGACCGAAATTCTCGTTTATCTGTCAATTCATTATCTATATATTTTTGCATATTTGCTTGTTTCATGGTTTGACGAAAGGAATGAACTTTCTCACTCTCTTGTAGAATCTCGCGACCCAAGAATATGCTCTAATACTGAACAACATGCTGTTGATCACAAATGTGATATATTTTGTAATAATACAAAACAACCATAAAATACAATAACACCACAACGTTTATTTTATCATAAATTACTTCAAAGTAGCCCTAATGTTTGCTATTTGAAAATTTTTTAAATTGTAGCATGGCAAAATAGGCGTTGTGAAGTTCCCCACATACAGTAGAACCCCCACCCTATGAAATTTCTACTTCCAAAAACGGGTTTCCAGAACAAATTGATATCATAAGCAGAGGTTCTACTGTACACAATTCGATACTCCCGTAGTATGTGAACCAAGATGGCGGACACAGGAGTCCGGAACATAGTATGTGTACCAGGTTGGGGTTAGGCCATGTTTCCAGGTACAAATACTAAAGGAGTCACTTGGCTAGTCCCCGAACTCGAAATAGAACTAAAAAAAGGAAAATTGGAATAAAATTAGGGCCTAACCCTAACCTGGTACACATACTACGTTCCAGCGTCTGCCATCTTGGTTCACATACTTCGGGAGTGCCCACAATTATAATCAATTAAGAGTTCAATATTCAAAAAAATTCTTACTAAAAAATAAAACTTAGAGCCAAGACAACATGTGGTACATACCTTTTATCCTACTGCACCAAGCGAACGTTGACTTTGACAGGAATCTAGCTTTACGTTTGATTGTCCAATCCATTGGTAAAGTCTCTGATCCGACATGCGTATTCGCTTCGGTTCTCGTGTTAGTAAATATGCCTTGGATCGAGTCTTCTTCCAAATATACAAACGGCATTGCGGGATCTTTGGCTTCGGTTTGGTTGGAATTGTGGTGGTTGGAGTCTGAGATGATGTGACTGGAGTTTGAGTTGTTGGTATTGCTTTGATATGTGCCTGAATGTGGTTGGAATATAAATTTGGTAGGTTAAAAGGATATGGTTTATATATTTATCCATCCCCAATAAGACGGTTCAATCATATGGCGACTTGTAGCCTCTCATCCGGTTACCAGTCAGGAATAGAATTAGTTAGCCAGTCGTTTGTTCTCATAACATGGACTTGATAGTGGAAGGATCTAGAACTAACCAGCGTTTATGTGAACCACCCTACGGCGGCGAGGAGTCCAAGAATCCTCTCCAGCTTATTTGTTTCAGACACATGGACCTGATGGTGAAAGAATCTGTAACCGATGAGCGGTTGTATGAACCACCCTACGGCAACAAGGAGTCCAGGCAAACCTCTCGCACATAAACTATCCCCGCATGGGATTCGGACCTGCCGCAGTGGCGAGCGTATTCCTCAACTAAGATAGGTATTACATCCTTGTATGTTTATGAAACAACATACAGACCTTCATTGGTTTTCAAAATTTCATCTGGCTGATTCAGCAGTATTTTCTGAGGAATATTTTCAACATTTCGTTCGTATTCTGAAGAAGATAAAATTCTCTTCTTGATTGCCTGAAAGTTGTGAAATAAATATGAATAAACAAATGATTTTTTTAATTCAGGGAAAAACCATGTTTATCAACAAAAGTTATTGGATAATAAATTAGTAAATGTTTAGGTTTTTGTTAAAAAAACAAACGACACAAGAAAATTTGCAGGTGACCCAATTGCGATAGGTTGATAAACACTTGTTATTACCACATATTGTGAAACTTAAAATACTCATATAGACTATAACACACACTCACATCTGCGCTTTCGGAAGCCGGCCTTTTTTTTGCAAATGGGTTCTGACGTTTAACTGAAGAAGTTTCTGAATCATTTTTCTTCATGAGCAATGGACTAGCGTTAGAGGCTTCTGAAAAAAATTTAAAAATATTTCAATATAGTCCATTTTAGTGTAATGGATGCCACTGAGTCAATTTTCGTCAAACATTATTCTGTTTTGATTTGTAATTTTAACATACTGACCATATCAGATTCGCTAGTGCCGAGCCTTGTTCAGAGAAATTGTAGGTCAAGAAATACTAACCTTGGTTGTTTAGAGATAGGTTTGACAACGATGCTCTTCTCACGTTTTGACTTTGTAATTTCCTGAGTCGTATTCTTCTCATTACGCCATCCGGTGTCCGTCCATTGCACAGGCTTGTCAGAAGCCATTATATACACGTAGCCTATTGCTGTTATTCAAGTATAAATAATCGAAGAAAGCTTTACCGCCTGACTGCACCAAGTGCAGAAGTGATAAGCTAACTCAAACCTAAATAAATAAATAAAACGAGCAGCTTTAGATTTAGCCATTAAGTATTGAAATGAGAGTCAATTGAAGCTTAATAACTGCTGTAGTCTAACTGGCTAATTTTGCTATCGAGCTGTTGATATTGATGCTTTATTTCTGTATTCTGTGAGACTTCTAGCTTAATAGTTTTTTTTTTGGCTAAATGCGGCAAATTCCTTCGCCTGTGAATACAGAAATACCAATGTTTTTAAATGTATCTTTAATTTTCACATGGCTGCATGGCGATGAATACTGGAATAACTTTTAGTCCGCTTGTTTGCTATTCTACATGACCTTCTGCATTTCAAATGGCGCGGCGGTGTGGCTCAACGGGCTAAGCGTTAGGAATACAGGAATACGCTCGCCACCGCACCTCTAATTACTCTGCGTGGGTTCGCAGGTTCAAATCCCATGCAGGGATGATTATGTGCGAGAGGATTGCTGGACTCCTCGCCGTCGTTGGGTAGTTCACGTAACCGCTGGTCGGTTACGGCTTCCTCCACCACTAAGTCCATGCTTCCGAAAACAAACCATATACCGATAACTAATCCCATACTTTCCTCTCCCCCGGGATAAATATGTAAATCCTATCCTATCCTAAATTGCATGGCCCTTCTCAGATCAGCGGTGCTGTTTTATTCCCAAAATTTAATCTCTAATGAGGGGTTGTTGTTACATAATTAAGCAGTTAGCCTAACTTATGGCAGTACTGCAGTATGGTGCCGCCATTCTTCCTGACTCAGTAACTCTTTATTGCCCCAGCCGCCTGAACAAAAATGAAATACTTCAATTTTTGACGAAATAAATGTCAGGGGATTTCCCTATATTGGTCTAAATTTTGGCGCCCTAAATTTTGACCACTAAGTGTCAGAAGTGAGCCGCAGGAATTTATCCGCGCTTTTTAACCGGTTCTCTCAACAGCGTATCAGTAATCAGATCAGTAATCAGAAGTTTATTTCTCACCATACTTAAAATAGGCACAAACATACAAATTGCAATAAATTAAATTATAAATTGGCCATATTTCAGGGTGAAGGAGACGCGAGAAACCCAATACTGGTTATGAGCAGCGGCACCTATAAAATAAGTCTAACACTATAATTTAAAAACAACAAAAAACGAACTAAGTTTAAATAAATTGAGGAAAAAATACATAAAATATCTCGAGACGATCTGCTGTAACCAGCAATCGCTCGCTTCAACCAAAGTGACTATAATAGTCACTTAGGCTTCAACAAAAGACAACTCCGAACACCACTGATTCGGTAGCCATGGAGATGGCGTTAGTGGATTGTATCACAACAATGCTATTGTGATGCCCATTAGCTAACAATGGGCAATAAATGTCAAATTCTGATGGCGCATGGTTATTGGTTACAGTGGAACCCATGGTTTGCTGAGGGCGACAACAGGATCAGCAACGAATAAACCATACCTTTATGCTAGAAAGGAATTGAGGTACCTGTTAATGGGATCTAGTGATTGGCAGCTGGAGTCAGGGCTTCACATAACGTTACAGGAAATATAAAATCAGGGAAGACATGAAATATCAAAATGTGAAAGATATTCCATAACAGTCATTCAAAACGAGTGTAACCTAGTATCAACATTCACAGTGGGAAACTAGATAGACTACAAGACATGAAACAGCAAAACTAAGAAGAGTCAAGTACCGTTAGTCCCTAATAGTTGAGTGAACCAATGAAGCAAAGTTTAAAGTACATAAAAAAAATATTATTTATCAGGTAATACTTTTACAATGTTATATAAGAGTATAATGACAATCAGATAAACAATTTAGGCTTTACTGACTGTAAGAGAAAACAAGTCACAATGTTATGCTAATTAACCCAGATCTTGAGCAGATGGGCTTAGAATTTCAATGTGGTTAAATTCGTACAAAGTTTCATGAACCATCTCAAACATAAGAAAAGTAGTTTACTATATTGTGCAGGTTACGAACAAATACCCAGGTCATGCAATTAGCATGGCACACTTTACATAATTCAAATCACTGGCAAGAATGCAATAAGATAAGGACATGAAAAATTGAAAAAAAAAAAAGTATTTATTATTACAGGTATAGGCCTAGCGGAGCAAGCGGGGAAGAGTGCCGAGGCCACATCATTTGGATGCATCACGCAGACTGGTAAGGTGACAGCAAGAATTTTTTATATTTTTGTTTTGAAAGTTTCAAAGAAGAGTCACGTAAGATTTGGGGAATACTATTCCAAAATTACAAACACCCTTATACTTCAAGGAGTTTTGGGACTTGCTTAGCGAAAATCTGGGAACAAAAAAATTCGATTTTGTCGAAGAGCGTGTGTTATGCTCATAGCACATTACTGAGAACAGTGAAATAATCAGCGAAGCTGGCAGGCAATTGGTTGTTGTGGAACTGGTGCATAATCTTAGAAATTTCTAATTTATAGATGTCAGACAATTTTTAGCACCCTGGCTTTATGATATAGGGTGTTTATGTTTGAACGAACTGGCTCCGGAGAGAATTTAACAGCCCTATTTTGTAAAATCTCTAATTTACGCAAGCTAGTTTGAGTAGCGGAGCCCCATGCAGCTAAGGCGTATTGGATATGTGATTGAAAAGAGCAAAGTAATAGTCCGCAGAGTTGGGCTCGGCACATAATACTTGAGTTTCCCAGAATCCCTACTGATCTGGAGAGTTCTTGTAATTTCAGTGATGTGGCTGTTCCATTTGAGTTGATGGTCAATATGAAGCCCAAGATATCTATAAGACTGGACGATTTCTAGTGGAATACCATTAATTTTAATTGAAAGACTTGAATTTCTAGTCCGGCTTTTAGGGCTGAATTAACATGACTTTGGGATTTTTTCCACATTTACAGTGAGTTTATTGCATATCATCCACTCATATACTTTATTAATTCCCAGTGTTCACTTTGGCTTGGAGTGTGATCAAAATCCTTCGACACTACGAGAAGGCAGGCATCATCGGCAAAACAATTTTGTCAGGAAATTAGAGCTGTTCGATAAATCGTTTATAAAAAGTAAGAAACCAAGAGGTCCTAATACACTACCCTGTGGAATTCCATACTGGATGGGCAACATTGGAGATTTATGAGAATTGACCTCTACATATTGGTACCGACAAGACAGGTAATCAGTTAATAAGTTGCCTGAAACACCTCGAAAGCCATAATGTCTTAGTTTATGAGAAAGAATATGATGATCGACAGTATCAAAGGCTTTTTTTAAATCTAGAAAAGTACAACAAACAAATTCCCCCTTGTCAAGTTTGTCATAAATGGACGAAATTAAATCTAGAATAGCATGGTTGGTAGAGTGTTTGGTCTGAAATCCAAATTGGCACTTGTCGATCAAGTTAAATTTTGAACAAAAATTAATCATTCTCTTATACAATAATTTTTCTAGAATAATGCCGATTGCTGGTAGAATGGAAATTGGTCGGTAATTAGATGGATCATTTCTTTTGCCATTTTTAAATATAGGGATCACTCTAGCTATCTTAAGTGAGGAGGGAAAAATACCTAATCTAAATGAAGAGTTGAAAAAATGGCTTAGCGCTGGGGATATGATGTCTGCGACTATTTTTAAGAAGTGAGATGGAATACCATCAGGACCAACTGCTTTACCCTTTTTCAGATTCGAGATTATTTGAAGAATCTCTGTGGTTGACGTCGACTCAAGATAGAAAGAGTTTCCTAGGGGAACACCCAAGAAATCTGTGATTGTATTAGAGCTCTGAGAGATTTTTCTTGCAAGTCTCTCACCAACTGTTGAGAAGAATTTATTGAATTCACTGGCCACCAAGACAGGATCTGACACTGAGGTACCATTTTCAAGTTTTAATTCTAAGATGGAAATATCATCTCTGGACTTGATCTTAATAATGTCGTTAATAGTTTTCCATGTGCGTTTAACATCTCCTCGGTTATTCTCAAGGACGTTTTGGTAATATAATTGTTTTGATTTTCTCTGCAAGTGAGTAAGGATATTTTTATACTTTTTAAAATGGGAGCGCTGGTTTAAATTGCCCTGCAAGTACATTTTTTTGAACATATTGTTCTTGTGCCGAATTGACCTACGAATTCCTCTAGTGATCCACGGCTTGGAAAATAATTTATTTTCTTTACGTGATAAAGGACGTAAGGGGCGTGTTTATTTATTAACCATTTTAAATGGCCAATGAAGGAGTCAAGAGAGAGATTGAAATTTTCTTTAGTTAGAGAAACACCCATATAATTATCACACATCGACTCAATTTCCGATCTGAAAGAGTCGCTACAAAAGTTTTTCATATCGCGCCTCATTCTGATTTTTGTTTTGGGGCCAACATTCATGCCCGAAATAGTACACATTACTGGAAAGTGGTCAGTTATATCGCTAAGCAAAATAAAGGTAGAGGAGAGAAGATTTATGGTATTTGTGTAAATATGATCTATGAGGGTGTGGGAGGATGGAGTGACTCTAGTTGGTTTTGTTATTACTGGCATTACAAAGTGGGATATTAGCATGTTGAAATAGTTGGTAGTGGAATTGTCGCAGGTGTCAAGTAAGTTGATATTGAAGTCACCTAACAGTACAAATTTCTTTTTCGCCACTGCCAGCTCAAATACACCAGCCATTGCTTTAGTGAATGATGGAGTACTACATTTGGGATGTTTGTAAATCACACCGATTACAAGGCTCTGGTTGTTGGAATTTAGCCTTGTCTCAATCCACAAATCCTCACAATTTGGCAAAGTTAGATCAAATTCTTGGATCACTTGATATTCTAAATTGTTTCTTATATAAAATCCAACGCCACCTGCCATGGTTGGAGTGGGGACATGAAAAAATGCGTAACCAGGGATGTCTATATTGGTAACCGAAGACCCATCTTTTAATCTGGTTTCACTGAGAGCGATTATATGCGGAAGGACATAAAAATAAGATGCCAATTCAATAAGGCTATCAACATATTTTGACAGAGATCT